TGAGGGCATACTCACACAACAACTTTGGGGCAGGTATCTACCTTGTATCACGTCCAAAGGGGTGTTCATTTTTTTTTCTTTTTCTTTTTTGCGGTTGTGACTACGTCGTTTTTTGAAAGTCTGGCCATGCTTTTTTCTTTTTCTTTTTCAGAAAAGTACCAGAAAAGAAACACAACCGTCGGCAAAACTCGGTGGGCAGTGAAAATCAGGGTCGGCAAAAACAGGCTCGGAGGTAGTTGTGGTTTATGCGGCCGCACAACCGGTAGGTACATGCACCAGTGTGGGGCCAGGGGGCCTTCACGTTAATGCGGCCTTTCAGAGTTTTCATCCGCGGCCAACATTGCGGCGCGGGCTACGGGTGGTCCAGTCGTAGTTCACCATGTCTCTCGGGCAGACCGACCGGCTCTGCCTATCCTGGTAGTGATATTCCACACTAGGTAGCACCATATTGGCTATGGCGAGAGTCGCGTTCAACGCTTCTAGAAAATATCGATAAGGTCCTCCGTGGCTTGGACCCGCAGCGCTGAAACTTGCGCATCTTTGGTCTGAGCGATGTGTGGTGCAGCACCGGTCCCCCCTACCGGTAGGTTTTCTTTTCCCTGCTCCTTCCATGCAATCTCCCAAGATCCACAGATACAACCCATCACACTCACGACCCCCAGCTGTCGAACCCTCTGCACTCTCAGCCGTCGATAATACTCCACACACGCGGATAGGCGGGGCAGAGATGAAGAGTCCCGCTAACTGAGATGAAGAGTCCCGCTAACTGGGACCTTGCCTCGCTCCAGAGACGAGGTGCCACCGACCATCAATAGTTGTTCATTCCATGTAGCAACCAGAGTTGTCCGTTCTGACCATCGATTTTTTGTTTTTTGTTTTTCTTGTTTTTTTGTTCTGACCATCGATTCGAAGATCGACGGAGAGAAATGAAGAATGCAGATCGGTGGGACCCGGCCCCTGCGGTCCCCGCCCGGGGCGTGGTCCCACAAGCAAAGAGGTTCGGATCGAATGCCTGAATCTGGACGGAGATGTGCAGGAAATCGAGATTGAACTGCTTTTCTGCATCTCTGCATAAAATACTTCCAGATTCAGGCATTCGATCCGATCCTCTTTGCTAGTGGGACCTCGGCCCCGGGCAAGTCGCGGGCGTTGGAGATCAAAAGCTGTCGGTTTTCAGACCACACGCAAGGCGGTTGGGCGTCTGCTTTCCTGCTCTGTGAATGTGCGGCGACTGCCGAGATCCCACTACCATCTTCCCCCGAACATAACGCACCCCTTTTTTTTTTTTTGTTTTCCTTTTCCACACCCCCATTTTGGCTGAACCTGACCGGAGATATACGTTGTGTACGGTCATTATCAGGGTGCGTTATGTTCGGGGGAAGACGGTAGCAAACAAGATTGGTTTTAACTCCTGAATCTGGACGTCTTCGCTGAGAGAGGCAGGTATTGGCTTTCGCTCAGCTTTTCTGCATGTATGCGTACTCGGGGTCCAGATTCAGGCACTTAGTTCAATCCACTTCACTTCAGTGGCGGGACCACGCCCCCCCCCTCCTCCCCGAAAGGGAAACTGAAATAGACATCAAAGACAATCTTTTTTTTTTTTTTTCGGCACAAATCCAATTTTAGTATTTTATAATAATTGTTTTTTTTCCGCCCGACCTACGCAAGGCGGTGGATTGGTGGCGCTCATCTTCGTATGAACTCCCACTGGCCCGCGTTGCACCACTCGCCATCTGCCAACATTTTGAACGCATCATAACAAACTTGCTGTTCAGATTCATTCGGAATTTCGCAGGATGGCGAGTTGTGCAACTACCGTAGGCCCACTATCTTGGTCACGCCACCATGCAGTCGCGGAGGCGCGATATGGGGACCAAGTCCCTCCAGCAGCGTTGAGCTACCTCAACGCCTGAATCTGGAGGCGTTTGTGGAAACATGCAGTTCAGGAAACTCAACACCATTTCTGCACATCTCTACAAAAAAGCGTCCAGATTCAGGCGTTGAGGTAGGCGTCTTTAGTTCCTATTTTCCAGCTTTTTTTCACGTGGAAATGACGAAAGCAAACGAAAGGAAACGACAAAGCAACGAAGAGCGGTGTAGTACCTCGTACTCCCAGAGGGCACTTATTTGTGCGCTCGTCGTTTGTCGTTTCCGTTAGTGCTGAGCTGCCTTCTGTCTTTCCCGTTAGGCAGCAGCAGGTCGAGCGTCGGAGCCGCGCGATGAGCGCGCGGGAAAGCGGGCGGGGAAAGGAAAGGCGCGTGAGGAGTCGGGAGGCGGGGGCGTCAGGGACGTGGCGAAGCCGTCCCCGCGCGCGGGTGGGCGGACGTCGCGCCGGTCCTGTCACGCTCGTGCTCCGAGCCCCCGTTGGCGCCAAGAACACAGCTATGGTCAGCGCAGGCAAAGACGGACAAACATGGGGAAAGCCAGCCAGCCATTCTAAATAATGTGTCTCTCCCGTGCTCCGCTCTTCCGTTGCACCGTAAGCACTTACGTCGCGTGAAGTCACTCCGGCGCGATCCAATCAATCAATCAATCTCTCTGTCTGTGTAATTAGATTTCGTATAAGCTGTGAATTGCCGACGTGGCGATCGGTTGGTCTGACGTTGACGTCCTATCGGGTTTTGTACCCCACGCACGTGGATGGCCCCACTCATGTCCATCCACGTCACGTTGTGTGTAAGTCTATCCCGTTCCGTAACTCTTTGAGCAGTGTCGCGCTTTCCCTTCACTACCACCATTTCCAGTGATCCGCCTCTGCTCTCATCTGCTTCCCCTTCCCTGGGAGGGGTTGCATTCCGGCGAGAACTTCTCTTTGTTCCACCGATCGGAGTATCTATCTGTTAGTCGTGGGTTGTATTATCTTCATCAGGAGATTATACTTGGGGCTTCGACATATTGCGACACTCTCTCTCTCTCTCTGTCTGTGTGTGTTTGTGAGAGAGAGAGAGAGAGAGAGAGAGAGAGAGAGAGAGCTTGTGTATCGACCTGTAGTGTTCTGGATCGACCGGCTACTTCCATCGATTAGCTAGATTGACTCCATGGCCATTCGGTTCATGCATGCTGTCGAAGAGGAGCACGTTTGCCCTTCGGTCGTTGGATTGCTCTCCGATCTGAATTGGCTTCATGTGTGCTGAGCAGCGGTTGTTCCAAGTGTCAGACTCGTGTGTGCTTCTCTCATGATTCTCTACGTCGTTTCTCTCCGTTGATAACGATCCGAAGTTTCGTCTGTTTTCTGCCTATACGAGGTGAGGATACGACACACAAAGAATCTCTACGGAACGAGTGAAGAGGCGGAAGGACACCGTGTGCGATTTACTGTTTTTCTTGCTTTCTTTCTTGTTTGTTTTGAACTTTTCGAGTATTAAGTCCTTTTTTTTTTTGTTTTCTGTGTCTCTCTGAGAGAGAGAGAGAGAGGGGGGGGGGGGGGGGGGGGGGGGGGTTTTATTGAAACCCCCGTTAGCCGTTAGATTATCGTAACCTCTGCTTCGATGGGTCCATGGAGGTTAAGTCCCGGGTTCTTGGCGTCGAAAGGTCGGGGAAGTCGTGGGCATGCCAAGGCTCCGCCTCTCCCTCCGCCGCGGAGTACTGGAGCGGCGTCGTTCTCTCTTGAGTCCGTACCAAGAATCGCCTGTTCTCAACGTGATGGAAATGGCAGAAATCAAGCCGTCTCGTGGAGCAATTTTGAGGATGTCGTCAACGAAATTCTTCCTTTCCGCCTCGTTGAGCGGCAAGAAACGGAGTGGTCCCAGAGAATGGGCGGCGGTCGAGGCGCTATGTTTCTGAAAGGGGACTGCCGACCTTTCATCAAACTCTTTACGCTCACGGCTATTGCATTTTCTACCATTTTCATCTTCTACGAAACCCGGTTCCTGGTATGTTTCCACATTTTTTTTTTCAACGGCGGGTTCTCTCCTTGCCCTGCCAAACGGTTTCCACTTTTTTTTTTTTCACATTATTCGTAGCAATTCAGCTACATTGTTTTGTTTGTTGTTATAAAAATGTATATTTATTATAATATAATAATACATTTAGCTTATTATTCAAAAGGCATTATTTTATCCGTAAGACGGTAAAAAAAGTTTCCGAAAAGTTTTGCTTTTTTTTTTTTTTTTTTTAATCTGGATTACGTTCCTTCGAAGAATTGCGCTTGGTCTCTCTTCCGTTGGCTCAATATTCTTCCCTCCGTAGTTTTCCCTCTTTACTACTATTCCTCTGTTCCTTTTTTTTTTTCTTTAATTTGGACCATTTCTCGATTTATGCGTGTCATCCTTGCGGAGGGGCCATGCTAATCTTCTTCCTCTGTATCGTTCCAATTTTAACGGATGTCCCGAAGGACACTATTCCTCTGTATTCCTTATATCGTACTTGATTACTTTTTGTACTAGTTCTTGTCCCTTCTCTCGTTGTTGATCTTTCACCGCCCAGGATGTTTATTGGAATGCACCTCTCTGCATTACGAGAGCAACATCTGATCTTATGTTGAACTGAAACTACCATTCCTATTCCCATTGCTTCAGTGAAATTACCATTTCCTATTCCCATTGCTCGTTGAAATTACCATTTCCTATTCCCATTGCTTCAGTGAAATTACCATTTCCCCCTCTGAAATTACCTTGAGTGAGCCATGGTGGGTATAGTACAGTTCAACATAAGATCTTATGTTGAACTGTACTATACCCACCATGGCTCACTCAAATTACCTTTCCGATTCCCCCCCCCCCCCCCCCCCCCCAAAAAAAAAAAGAGAAGAAGACATTATCGTAGCTCACTAAAATTACCATCCCCCCCTCTGAAATTACCAGTGCTCCATGAAAAATGACCATTGCGCGCTGAAATTACCAATTCCTATTCCCGTTGCTCACCGACGTTTACCATTCCTATGCACTGAAATTGCCTTTTCTATTTCCGTTGCTCACTGAAATTACCATTCTCATTGCTTTATTGCTTTTTTTTTTCACTGAAATTACCATTTCTATTTCCATTGCTTCAGTGAAATTACCATTTCCTATTCCCATTGCTTCAGTGAAATTACCATTTCCTATTCCTATTGCTTCAGTGAAATTACCATTTCCTATTCCCATTGCTTCAGTGAAATGATCATTTCCTATTCCCATTGCTTCAGTGAAATTACCATTTCCTAA